TGGTGTAGTTGACACACTTGCTAAGAAGGGGACAACGATTCTCCACTGCATTTACCGGCTGATGTCTTTCCATACAATGAAGACCTTAATCAGGAGAGAATTCCAGACCTCAAGAATGGCCTTAATCAGGAGAGAATTCCAGACCTCAAGGTGCGAAGGCCTTAATCAGAAAAGAATTCCCGACCTCAATGTGCAACGAAATTAAAGCTCGAAACCGGCCGATGTCTTTCCACACAATGAAGGCCTTGATCAGAGAGAATTCAAGACCTCAAGGTACAACGAACTTAAAGCTCGGTAGGAGAAATAGTGGACAGTGGCACTCTCCGACATACCCGGCGGCGAGAATCGAAGCCGTTGCTGAGTTTAGACTACGTATCGGACAGTCCACACAATGAAGGCCTTAATCAGGAGAGAATTCATGTAGTGGCACTCTCCGAATAGAGGAGAAATAGTGGACAGTGGCACTCTCCGACATACCCGGCTTTCCAGACCTCAAGGTTCAACGAACTCAAAGCTCGAACAACAGAGAAACAGTGGACAGTGGCACTCTCCGACATAGCCGACTAGCCAAGAATCAGAAACAGTGGACAGTGGCACTCTTCGATATAGCAAATGAGAACAAAGGGGAAACAGTGGACAGTGGCACTCTCCCGATCAGAAGAGAATTCAAGATCTCAAGGTGCAACGAACTTAAACAACAAAGGAGAAACAGTGGACAGTGGAAACAAAGGGGAAACAGTGGACAGTGGCACTCTCCGATTGCAACGAACTTAAAGTTCGAACAAAGGAAAAACAGTGGAGAGTGGCACTCTACCACATAGCGACTGGCCAAGAATCGAAGCCGTTGCTGAGTGACGTACCGGACACGATTGCTTGGCAAAACACCTTCACAGAGGGGAGTATACACTCAACCCACATGCCCTCTATGTAACCTAAGAGTATACACTCAACCCACATCCCCTCTATGTAACCTACAGGAGGAAATGGTATACACTCAACCCACATACCCTCTATGTAACCTACAGGAGCCTCACATGCCCTCTATGTAACCTACATGAGGAAATGGAGAAGCCATGCCCCCTATGTAACCTGCAGGAGGAAATGGAGAAGACGCACCTTACTCGTATTGGGAGAATACACTCAACCCACATGCCCTCTATGTAGCCTTGGGAGTATACACTCAACCCACATGCCCCCTATGTAACCTTCAAGAGGAAATGGAGAAGACCCACCTGATTCGGTGTCCCGGGAGTATACACTCAACCCACATGCCCTCTATGTAACGTAGAGGAGGAAATGGAGAAGACCCGCCTTACTGTATTGGGAGAATACACTCAACCCACATGCCCTCTATGTAGCCTCCCGGGAGTATACACTCAACCCACATGCCCTCTATGTAACGTAGAGTATACACTCAACCCACATGCCCTCTATGTAACCTACATTTGAGAAGACCCACCTGATTCGGTGTCCAGCCCTAAAGACACAGAAGACCCACCTGATTCGGTGTCCAGCCCTAAAGACAGGAAGACCCACCTGATTCGGTGTCCAGCCCTAAAGACAAGGACGGAAAGCCAAAGATACTGGGAAGCAAGAAGACAGCTACCGAACGTAATTAACTGCTATAAATGTATCCCCCCCCCCTCTTGGGGTAGGAATTAACTGCTATAAATGTCCCCCCCCCCTACCCTTGGGGGAAGCTAACTGCTATAAATGTACCCCCCCCCCTCTTGGGGGAAGCGGGGAAGCTGAAGTCAAAGATTAAGGGCTAATGATAAATATCATAAAGCCTGCCATTTGAAATAAATAACTATCAAAACGCTATTTGAAATAAATAAATTATTGAAATCTCTGACTGGGCTTAGCTCTTAAGATGTCTCCTACTGCAACTCCTGTCAGCCAATGATGGAATGCGGTTGCGCCCATCACATTTAGAGTGAAGAGGCAACGGATATCAATTATTTTAAAGAACCATACACGACTAGTCAGCCCATCACTACATAGGCCAGGACTACCATGACCTAGCAACAATCAGCATCAACATCCCAACTGCTTGATCCTTAGACGTATCAAATACGACATCTAAAGGAACATAAAGAAGGTTTTTCTCTAAAAATCAAACACAGTCCACTAAAACCGAATCCCCAAGATGTCTTGATCACTATAACCACATTCGAGCAAAAGGTCATACTCCCCTTCCGCACTAAGCTTTCGAAACCGGTTAATGACAAATGCAAGATAGCCGAGGTAATCGGTCTCACTAAACCTATTTATAACTCTAAGGGAACAGTATCAATAAAGTTTGTACAAAATGTAGACGACAATACATTTTCTCATCCTCAAGACCTTTAATACTCAAATTAACATTGGTGGATCCACATTGATCTCAATCTAAATGAACCTAACCGAAGAATCACCTATCCAGTCCAAGTTGGTTCCTATTCTAGGAGACCTGAGATTACACCAACCAAGTCTGTTTAATCGGAGGCTTTATTAACAATCTCTTCACCCATAGAGTACTAAAAGTTGTTGTATCCAGAAACATCACAAAGTTCCATCCTACTCGATTTGAGAACTTTGGTCGCGAAATGAATACCTTCATTTTACCCTTTACCGGTTAATCCCAGTGCCCTAGAAGAGCACCTTGCTACAATGTGAAATTCAATTTCTTGCGTCACAAGGAGGGGAGACCATGAAAAGGATTCATAATCCTTTATAGTTAAAGAGACACAGTTGTATGTTGGTATTCAATCTGGGTACATCATGATAAACACCACCATTCCAATGTACGTAACTGTATCTTACGAATCGAAAATGCTTCCAATTGAGATCAGCCCGAAAAAGTGCGACTTCACAGACTCGAATTCCTGAAGATTTAGTGACCTAGCTCAATCATCAACCCAAGAGTTACTCTTGGGGATTCAGAAGACAACAAAGGGATTCTAGGTAGACACTACGTATGTGTAACCAACTTTTACAGATATGTTGGGTAAAACAAACAAGTCCTACTCAAGAAAAATCAGATTAACAATTTAATTGAATTATTCGTAGAGTTGTAGTATTTGTCAGAAAGCGCTAAATTTCACCACTGACATGTGGGGCTAATTTAAATAAATTGTACTAAAACAATAAAGAATCCCCATCCCTTCATATTCTCACTAACAAAGCAATACGGAAATTCAACATAATGCGACAACTGAGGCAAATGGAAAGTAAACAAATAAAATAATAGAGGATTGGGAAGTAACTGATGTTAACCTCCCCGTTCAAACTCCACAAAGGCGAAGATGCTTCCACCGAAAAGGTAAACAGCCTTTATATTACAACACACCTCAAATCAAGATTTAAAGAGAGCAAATATGGTTGTAATGGCTAACTATCTACTCTACCACGATTACATAAGTTATCCAATACCCTAAATATAAAAACAGATGGGCAAATTCCTAAATCCGACAAAATAAAACGTTGATATGCTCTCATTATAACGAAGGTCTAACTGACAACAATATTCGAAGAAACTTACAGTTCAGAAGAAGAGATTTTCAATAATGTAAAAACATAATAACAACCATTATATCGGCAAACTGGCATGAGATTCTAAATAAAATCACTAAAATACTCCTTACAAAGATCTTCAAAAATTTATTACATGGATTCGAATATAAATTTAGTTCAGGCTATGGTACCTTAAAGCAAAATGAAATTAATTCTTACAAAAGCAGGGAAGTCATTTGGAAAGGTGTAAGTGCTCTCATAGAACGGGTTCACAGCTCCATTAGAACGAATAGCGCCAGGCGCCAAGGCAGTTGACTTCGGTATAGCTTTCTGAGAGGAAGAAGACTCACTCTTACCAGCTGAAGAGGAGGCCGTATTCTCAACAGCTCCAACCCAAGGGCGACTGATTCTATTGGGTGATACAACAACCCATTCCTGTGTCAAAGGATTGTACCGTCGATGAGACTTATCCTGAGGAGCTGACGGAATTACTAGATCCTGGGGGATCAATATTGATCAGTACAATGTCGTCAGGTAGCACAAAATTATGGCAATGAATCACATATGAGTATTAGAACGAAAACAGGCAAAATCCGAACAAAAATTAAAAGATTTTAGAATCTAAAAAAATCAATAAAAGCATTCCAATAATTATAAAAAACCATTAGAATAAGATTGAAATCGAATGCAAATGGACGCCAACATGAGAGCAAGGTGATAAAAGAAAAAAAGCAAGCAAAGAATTAAAACAAAATAATCAAATTTATTTAAAAATAATAAAGTAATCATCTAATGAAGACCAGTAACAGCATATAATTCATCCTGAGAAAGCGGCTTAAGATTAAACCCTTTTAGTGATTCCTTTCCTTCCAGTTCACGAAGTTCCTCTAAATCTGCTTTGATTTGTGCACGTAGAGCATCAACTTCTCCTGCAAGTGTTTGAATATCAGATCTCAGAGCAGTTTTTAAAGGATTCTTGGGGACTTTGAAAAACTGATGTGAAAGACATGCCCAAACATTCGAAGGTGTATTAGGATCATTTAACCGATTTATAGCTTCTTGCGATTTTCTACGGTTTATTTCATATAGCTTGCATTTTTCTTGAGAGCTAATTACCTTCTCTGTTGCAGCCTCAAGGATTTCAAATTCCTTTACTATTTTGTCATGTTGTGCATCCATACCCGAGGCTTACGAATCAGACGCTTATTGTGAGAGTATATATAAACACAAATTGTCATGATATAAATAGTTCTAATTGAAACATTTATTAAATAACGAAAGCGTATTTTGGTTATATAAAATCATTAATTTATTAAAATATTAAGCATTTAGAGGGAATCCTTCCCATGATTTACCGCGTCATTTAAAGCCTCTGGGTTCTGGCGCAATTTTGATCTGGCCATATATTCTTTAACTACTTATTGTTACCCAGAAGGCGTTTCATCTCCAGTTGATTTAGCTGTTTCCGTTTAATTGTTCAGAAAAAGCGCTCGATGACGCTTCATCTTTCAAAGTTTTCCTCTATAATGAAGTTCGTACAACAGTCTTATATTTTGACTTTTTATTTAATTTTCCTTAATTTCGTTGTTCTCTTCCAGAATTCCATGCTGTCTGTCTTCATCTCGAGTCTGCGTTAATCGTGTCAATCGCAATATCTATGGTCGCATGTATCCTGTTTCTTTGGCTTTACCTAACGGCGCCACCATCCGAATTCGTTATAAGGAACCACGCCGACTTTTACAGGTGCGCGTTGTGTTTTTGCCTTCTAATTTTTTAATGGTTGCATCTCGATTAACTATTTTTTTATTTGAGCTTATTTAAATAGGGGTTGACTCATTTTATCCATGCTTATTTTTCAGCTGCCTTTTAATCTCGAAGAATGTGATGAAGAAGAAAGAATGAGGCGTTTGCTTCGTCGTAAGCCAAAAGCACGTCTGGAATTACAAGATGAACTTTCTTTTGAAGACTCATTTGATGAAACGGCTTATGATTTCCTCTGGTCGAAACCTAAGCCTAAGTAGATTGCCAACTTCCCACTTGGAACTTTAATGTAACTGTAAATAGTAAATGCGTAGTTGATCACTTTTCATATCTTTGATTAGTGATGTTTCGGCATTTGTACAATATGCATTTTTCATTTTTTAAGTCCCTTAAACTTCAAAGTCTTCCAAAGATCCGATTTAAAGAAGAGTTATATAAATTTCCATACAACTTGCAGATTAGGAAGTTCTGATACATTGCTCCTAAAACCGATTTCTTAACAATTGATGCTGTGTGTGTCACCGCTTTGCAAATAAGCACTTCATGCCTTGTGTGGTTGAGAGAAGTCTATCAATTTTGAGCTCAGATATAAAACAACTCCATAAGGGTTCCCAGGGTCGCAGTACGTAGAAGTGGCTTAATTTTCCTGATGTTTGAAGAAAGCTTGTTCTCGAAATTCGAGTTAGGGTGTTTCTATCATCTTTAAAGGAACAGAATCATTAGTTGCCATATACTTCAATTTACGGTCCAGATATTGCGATTTTAATGGGGGGGGGGGGATTAAAGGAGAGAAAAGTATTCCTATACTTATTTTTTGTTAGTATGAGTTATATTTCGAGATTCCTAAGGGGAAATCAATTAAGATAACAGGGGATACTTCCCTTTGCACCCCGTTTTAGACTTTCCTGAGAACTTGCTAATGCATTTTTCAGTTAATTGAAGATACTTTATTAATATCCTGGGTATATTTAAATGGAAAGGTAGGGTTGGGATGCAATGGCCTATTTTCATATACAAAGGTAGAATATCCGATTTATGAATTACCTAATCAGTTTCTGTATATGTTGGCATATGAGGAATGACAATATGCTAACTGAAAGAATTGTGATTAAACGAGATTGGAGCTTTCGTTTTCAAAGCAGCAGTTTTCTTCCAACTTGAATTAGTTCTAAGTGTATTCAAGCACGGAAAATCGATAAATTCTAAGAACTGCAAATACGTGATTGGAAGGAAAAATGATCGTTGCTTATCTAAAACTATTCAATTATTTCTCTCCTTTTTGAATACAGGCTTCCACTACTACACTCCTTTTAGACCCTAGTTTTTCCTCAATCGACATAGCTCGTCGCTATCTTTCTTACTAATTTTTAAATAAAGATCATAAATTAAAAGCGTAATGAAGTAAAGTAGGTGGATTACTTCGTAATTTACCTGTTTATGAGAGGCTGTAATGTTGCTTAAAATCAAACCAGTAGAAATTTGAATTATAAATGTCAATTATCTCACTTGTGGGGTGCGCGATAGATATACCTCCGCGTGGTGCACCCTGGACAACGTATTTTCTTAC